AAACTGCATCATAGCGCAAGCGCACCCCCCCCACCGAACGGGACGGGACAGAAGCAGAAGGAGGTTCTTAAAGAGACAGAGGCCAATTTCAAGACATTTAGAAGAGGAAGTGATGAGAAGATAAGTTTATTTTCTATTTTAACATAAAAACAGCATTTTAAATAACAGCTAAAGGTGACATAGATACTTTATTAATGCATATTATTTAAATATATGCCTGAGAGACACATAATATTGCCCCTTTAAATCTCTCATCTTTGTAGTGTGTTCAAGTCCACGACAACATGTATTGAACAGCTTAAAAGTGGATTTTGCTTGACGTGTCCCCCTTTAAAGCACACCTTGGTGATTTAAATTCAAATCCTTTGCGGTGGTGTTTACAGCATAAAACATGAGAATTGTGTTGATGTGTAAATATTTACGGACCTGACTGTAGAGTAACCTGGCTGCAGTCTGAGTGTAAACAAACACGATGTGTAGATGTGTTGAATGTTGGGAAATGAAACAACAAAAAGTGTATCTGCTGCTAAAAGTAAAAGAAAACAAAAAAAAAGATCCAAAAAGACAACGGTAAAGAATAAAAACCGAGCAGGGCAGTGTGGCTCATTATTAATGTAGGGTTATTGTTAATTTTTTAATTTCAACTGTAGTCTAAAGATGAATCTGAACAAACATAAATACACACATTATACATCAGAACTGTTTGATATCTCCATCCCAAACAGCTTTTTCACTCTACAATTTCTGATCTTGTTTCAATCATTTCAGCTGTTTCCAGAAGTAAACAAACACACGTGCTGGCTGGAGCCGTTCAAACTAACCATTGATGAGAAAAATATAGTGCAGATTCATTTCTTATTTTATGCTTTTATTTTGTAGTGGACCGGCCTTCTAAACACTGAAACAACTACTTTACTGTCTGTTTTCTACAAAGGGCCTTCATGCTGTGAGCTGACACTGTTTACCACCACTGCTTTATACACACGACACAGCTGAGGACTTTTATTCAGCACTAAACTATCACTGCTCACAATATGAAAAGGAAACGGCTCATCAAAGCCACGACTGTTTGGAAAATTATAACAAGCAGTTTAGCTGCGCCTCATCTGAGCCGAGGATCACAGAGAACTCATCCAACTTCATCTGGTAATCAAGATCACATTTTTAATCACATTTTAACCTCCAAGCACCAAACAAACAAAATCACTTTAACATGTAGAAAGAAACTCAACACCTCTAAAGTATTTCACTTTAACAGCACAGCTGTTCTCACTGAAGATTTCACTTTGAGCTTTCATTTTATTGTTTTGTCTTTAAACAGAAAAAGGGCAAACGAGGGGAAATGCAGTTATTATTTAGCTTAAAGCTGGTGAACATGGGAGCACGGAACGATCAGAGCAGCGGTGCGATGATGACATGAAGAAAATGACACCGGGCTCTGTAACTGGATCAGGTCCATGTGCTGGTCTCTGCAGTTCCTCAGCACATGCATGCTGTAGAAGAGTACAGTGATCACAGCTCTGCACGCTGAAATGCTGATCTCATTTCCTGTCTGGGTTTATTTCGAGTGCAGTTTTCTCCTCTCAGGCTTCACACGTTTAAAATGTTAGAATATTAACCCTCGTTATTAGGGCTGCACCGATTAATCGACAACTAATCGATTATTAAAATAATCGATGACTAATTTAATAATTGATTAATCGCTTTCTTTTTGTTCTTTACTTTGTTTTTCTCTCCAAACTGCTTTGACACCTTCCACTGCCACATCTGCCTTTCTGTCCTTGACACACATGCACAGTAGTGGTAACTGGGGTAGGCCGTGGACGTCACAAGTAGGGCTGCACCCATTAGTTGAAATAATCGATGACGTCGATTATGTAAATTTATCGACGCAGACTTTTTATTATCGATTCGCTGTATCACATAACCACCACGTGAATGTTCATGCAATTCCATTTCGGTACCTAAAAGCATCATTGCGACCGTATTGGCATGAGTGGTGAGTTTTCCATGCTTGTCCTGAACGCAGCATCGCGCAAGAGCGTAATGACGTCAGCAGCCGCTGCTTCAGTTCAGTCTGAAGCTTGAAAACAAGCCTCGCAGCTCCTGGAGTAAAATTTACTGAACAGACTGCTCTCAAACAACAGAGGAGCTTCCCGACACACGTCTGACCTAAAGAGCACAAGCAGCCAACAAGTGTTGGACGTGTTCTGGAT